AAAATTCTTGTAACAGTTTCTCTCCCCTCTCCCCGTAATAATAATTATTAAAGAAAAAGTGTTACATAGGTTTCCCGAGGACACTTCTAAAGTAAAATTTGTTAACTACCTTGAGATGCTCTAATTAATGCTCCAATTAGGGAAAGTTTTTAGTTGTGACGGGAACACGAATGGTACATCACGTGTTTTTATGTAAGTGATGGAAAATTTTAATTTTTAAGCTATTAACCTTTTAACACATATATCCAACCATTTACATAGAGACACGTGGTGTACCGCCTGTGTGACGGTCACACTGAAAAATCTCTCCCCAATTAGTATACTCAGTTTACATTGAGATTTGAATTAAGGTTTATATCCCTCTCACTTCATTTTTTTCCCCAAAAGATAACAAAATAGAATAAGAAAACAATGCAACGTATATTTAAAAATCCGTTCTATATATACGTGCACGTTCAAAAAAAGAGGAAATTAAACAACATCAAAAAAACCTAGCAGGGTTTGCCGACAGCGCAGTTTAGAGCACCGGAAAATTTTGTGAGCGTTGCGACAAAGGTCCCTGGTTTGAAGGGCATCATGTCCAACTTTGCTGGGTGTTTGCTGGCTCCTGATCCAGATTCAACAAAGAAAGCTCCATTCATCATCAAATCTCCCTCAGATCTCCATTCCCAGTTCTTCCACTCTGCCTCTGGTGTATTCTCCCTATGGGTCACCTATACAATTAATTAAATCCAGAAGTCAAAATGACATATTAGATATGAACGAACGTATTATGCATGTATAATAAACGGTTATATTTGGACTATATTTACTCATTACTTTTTCGATCGAGCAAGCACACGTTTTGGTAAAAATTAACGTCCACGCTCGAGCTTGAACACACTTAATTGGGGCTAAGTATTTACTAATTAATAAAAAATTAATTCATGTAATCAAACTGTATATTACCTGTTTGGTGACCCCGTTAATGGGAGCAATGAACCTGTTACCCTGGCTGATGATGGTAGGGTTCATGTTTCCTCCGATGGCATACATGATCCAGTGGGTGTAGTCGTTGTTCACCACGTGGAAGAATCCGTGCCGGACCCTTGGCATCCTCTGCACCAGTCCCTGACCAAAGTGGTTGAAGGCCAAAGTAATTTGCATGATTTTGTCTTGAGTGTGGGCGTTGTTGGCACCAAACAACATCGCCTGCATGATTTTGTACGTACCATTAATTAGTAAATTATTGTAGTTATTTACATAAATTAATATTATATTATTAGGTTAAGTTAGTTAATTAGTTTTTTTATACGGGCGAGAAGAGGAGGGGAAATTCTAACTCGAAACCTCGGATGCAAGAGTAAAAACTTTTATAGCAGAGTGTGCTACAAGTTTTTCTGAAGTTAGTTAATTAGTTTAAGATTAAAGTAATTCCCTTTTAAGTACCTCATCGTGGTCCGTGAAGTGGGAGTTGGAGATGGTGATGGAGGTGGAACCCATGACGGCGTCGATGAGCCCATCTGCGCACCTGGACATGGAAACGTGATCGATCCAGACGTTGGAGGCACCAAAGAGGGAGATACCATCGCCGTCACTCTGGGTCCTTAAACCTATGTGGTCGACAGAGTCCCTGATCATGCCACCGGGTTTGGGGACAATCATTTTTATGTGAAGGTTGGTGATGATTACATTCTTCACAAACTGCAGGGTAATGCCAGCACCCTCTTCTATCACAACATTGGCTCCCCTAGCATCAATGGTCTTGTCACTAGTCACCATCAGCTCTTGCTGCAGCCTAATCACCATGCTTTTTGCGAAGATGATCCACAGAGGCCCTTTCTGAATCACGGCGTGGCGTAGAGTTCCGGGTTTAGGGTTTTGCACGTCATCATCTGTGCCCATTGTTACCACGTAAAAAGGACCATCCTTACCTCCGGTGGCCTTTTTACCAAAGCCTTGGGCGCAGCCTACGATCTTCTTTCGGTTGTTAGCCCAATAAGGGTCACACCTCCAGCAGGCGTCAATTGGGTTGGTCGCCATGCATGGACCCTTATAAGCCTTGTTACCCCTCAAGTTCCTTCTTGTGGTGTTTTCCTTTAACATAAGCCTGAATATATATATATATATGTATGTATGTCATTGATAACAAAACATATACATATGTGTATAATGTATGAAGTAACAATTTCTTGTTGGACTCATGTTGTTAAACAAACGTTTATATGTATTGTCAAATTGTAAATCTGCATGCAATAATTAGACCTACTTGCCAACTTCATTATTGAACTCTTCAGTGACTTGCTCAGGATTTTTATTGTAGGATTCCAGGGCCTCCTTTTCAGCTTCTTCGGCTCGTTGTTTCCAGTACGCATCTAAATCTAATACCTGCGTATCTTCATTTGGAACATCGGTTGGATCATCGTGGCTCGAAACGAATACAGCAAAGGACAAGAAAAACAAACATAGAAAGAAATAGGACGAGTTAAACATCGCTGCCATTGTTGTTGGTTCTTCGTGGGCAGCCGCAGATTCCTTGCGACGAGGAAACTGTCCGGTTGGGCGAGGACAAGGTTGCTCGAGGGTGTTGAAGCAGACCCAGCCAAGCCAAGCCAACAGATTAAACCGGTCACAAGAGATAATTAATTAACCAACTGGCATATCTATTGGTTTGTCTTGGGGCGGGGGATGTCTTTTAATATGAGACGAGACTCACCTAAATAAGGCATGCAGCTAATTATAATTAAGCGTCTTAATCTAACATTTGGCGGGAAGTGTGGGTAACCGTTCCCATGCATCTGTTGACCGTTAAAAGTAGCAATTGGGCTTCCCTTCCCTTTCGAAAAGTTCTTTATCTTCTAGCTAATTTTGGATGTTATCACATAAAGGACTGGTATACCGCATTCTCGTATCATACACATGTTAAGAATACAGAAAGGTCATGCATGCAAACTCCCAAACTTGGAGAGTACTTACACATAATTGATCGTTTTCTATTAGTGTTTTCTTAGTATATAAAACATGTTAATTACAATATGAGAAATATACTAATGAGATATATACCTCTGCTATACACACAAAAATTCTCCCCAACTAGGCATCGAAGTCAAGTAATTATTAGATCATTTCAAAGCATCGAGGGAATAAAGAGACTAAATACAAAGTATGACAAGGATATAGATGTTATGTCCAGTTAAAACTTATATCATCGTCTTTTAAATGTATAACGAATGTACTGATACACATTAATTGCTTATCACATCATGTAGAACAATGTAATATCAAAATTATTGATTCAATAATTAGGTCGTATTAATTTTACTTTTAAGCATACAAGTCATGACACAAGGCTCGTTGGTTGAGGAGTTGAGCTATTAAATATTCATTATAACAAATTAGTTGGTCTAGCAGCACCTGTCTCTACTTGGTGGAAGCAAGTCTCGGGTTCACCTCAAACAAATGCAAGGATAATATTATATATATATATATATATATATATATATATATATATATTTGTAGTAAGTTTAATATTAAGGTTTGACCTCTTGTGATTTGTAGGTGTTAAAAACTTAAAAGGACCGTTGTAAAAGTATTGTTTTGGTTAATATTTAAATATTGGGCTTGAATAAAGGGAAGTCCAATGATGCCAATTAAAGGAGACTTGCCTGAAACCCAACATTGAGCCCAAAAGCAAATTGAAGCCTTCTCAGCCAAGATACAAGTCACGTGTATATGATTGAAGTGACAAGTGATAGAGACTAACCTACTATCAGCCAAAGAACACTTTCTAGTAGTATTACAAGTAAAAAGTTGATGACTCACTACCCTCCAAGTGTTTTCGGGTAAGCACACAACCAGAGACAATCGGGCTAAACTGCTAATAAAAAGGAAGACAGACCCCAGAGATAAAGACACTCAATAAATCAAACAAACAAACATACAAACTCTGCTCCCAAGCCAGATTTGCATCCAAAAGCTAAAATCAACCAAGATTCAGTCTTTTTAGCAATAGTTTCCTTAGAGCAGTTATCTTTTCTCCAGTATAAAAGCTCTGCTACCATTCCCAGTGCTGTAGTATCGATTCTCTTGTGTAAACTTGTTTACCATTCATCCCTTTTTAGGATATAACCCCTATAATTTCAAAGAGAAGTGACTGCAAGAGGTTCAACCTTGCCAAACAAGGTGAAATCTTGCCCCAAGCTCTATGTTTGTTTTCTAAATTAGTAGATCTATTGCTTAATGCATTCTCCAGCATGTATTCAAGTTATTTCCACCTGTTTTTCTATTTTAAGAATCCCATTTGCATCTGGATCTGATTAGTTTAATGAACATGTTTTCATTAAGAGTGGTTTAGGACCAAACAAATGACTTAAGGGGCTCTGGACTCCCTTCATTCAAATGTACAAGACCACGAACTAAAAGTCATTGTTTACAAGGCAAGAAAAAGAACTTAATACAGACTTAACCCACCTATGACAATCCTTTGATAACAAGAAGTTGGAGTAACTTGGGGCGCAAGTAATTGACTTAAAACACACTTGTTCTACATCTGCTATACTGAGATAGCAGTGGCACGCTTAGCACTTAGTTAGTTTTGATTGCGAGCCTCAAGGCCTACACCTAAGACCCCACAAAGGCACCTTTCAGAACTAGCTTGGTTCTCTTCTTGTAGCACATCAACAAGCAAGAGCCCGACTACACATCCAAAGTGCCAATCCCTTGGGTAGCTGTGCTGAGGTCCGAGGAACCTTCTCCAGAGAAATCTTTGCCCGAACAAGTATATTTGTAAAAAAATTGTTGACGAATATGCATGGTTATAATGAACTTAATGATGTTGCTGATAACTGATGTTTTGATTAGAACAATGTTTTAAGGAATCATCAAGTATACAATAAAGTTCATATCCATCATCCATGTTTATAAAATAAAACGATCTAGATGAAGTGTTTACAAGTGCGTAAACTAAAACTAAAGTTAATTTAGTTAAAGTCAGGGAAAGTAAACATGTTTAAGGCACCATTTCAAAGGGGTTGGTCCCTTGAGTTGCTCAAGGGCAGCAGGCTCTCCTCCTGTGACTCTAATGCAGGCAAAACACCGCTGTTTGAAGAACAGGTACAGGGATTATTTCGCATTCCTTCGTACAATATCCGCTTAATAGTGTCGCTGTTGTTCTGTTCCGGAAGGAGGTTTAAATCATTCTTCTCACTCTCTTCATTATCTCCATTTAAATTATTTTCCACCAGCTCTTTAAATACTGAGGATTGAAGGATGAGGCCAAGAGGTGTTGGGGAAGGTGATGACATGGTGAAGGGGCTAACGGGCATAGAAGGCTGCTGCTGCTGCCTAGGGAAAATGTCGCGATTTTTTGAGGTGTCTATGTCATCTACGGTGAAGGAGTTGGGTTGGAACATGGACATCTGTCTTCCTTCCTTGCTCGGGGGGATGCCATCAGTGGAAGATGGCATGGGGAGAAGCTGATCTGCATTCGATTTCAGTTCTTGAGGGCCAAGGGAATTGGCCCTTGGCCTCTGCCATCTGATTATGTTTTCAAGTCAAAGTTGGTCACTGCATTTATGCCTCTGTATTCTATTGCTGCAATAACATAAGCATGAGCAGCCTCTTCCTGGGTGCCTTGATGAAATAAAATAAGCCTCATAAACCACTTAACATTCCCAACGTACTTTGAAACAAATAGATTTAAATGTCAGCCAACGATTTTAACGCTTATTTTTTAGCCTTTTACACCCCTTCTGTGAGCGCAGAAAAAGTATTATACTCAATTTGGGGCATAGATGACAAAAGGGGAAGTGTGGAAATCGCCACCCTAGAGATCAGTTTGAAACTCACCATAAGTGCCGAGGTAGAGGTACTTGTTTTCGAAAACTCTCCCTATCCTTGCTTCCCATATCCAACATGTGCCACATCAACACTTAACGAAAATTTTAATAGAATTGTGACGGAAGAATCACATTGATTTGTGACACCTATTCCAGGGACTACATTAATTGATTTTTAATTTTAGGGACTACCTTGATGGTGATGGTCAATTTCAGATACCATTTGTGATAAAAACCCTAAAAATATTGTTTATCAATGGGCTAGAAACATAAAACTGAGCCACGCATAAATAAGACAAACTTGAAATAATAATATTTTAAGATAGAAAAAAAATTAATAGTTGTTTGAAAAGTGGGCTGGAATGGAAAAAATTTAGTAGCATATAAGTGTCATTGCCACATAGTGGATAGAATGTTATGTTTCTACCTATAAGTTGTGAGTTCGAAACTCCTTATCTCTCAAATTCTTGTAACAGTTTCTCTCCCCTCTCCCCATAATAATAATTATTAAAGAAAAAGTGTTACATAGGTTTCCAGAGGACACTTCTAAAGTAAAATTTGTTAACTCCCCTTGAGATGCTCTAATTGATGCCCGAATTAGCATACTCAGTTTACATTGAGATTTGAATTAAGGTTTATATCCCTCTCACTTCATTTTTTTTTCCCAAAAAAATAACAAAAGAGAATAAGAAAACAATGCAAATTTATATTTAAAAATCCGTTCTTTATATGTTCAGAATTGTTTTTGTGTTTGAAAGCAACATGTACTACATTCATTGGTATACGTCCGTGCACGTTCAAAAAAGAGAGGAAATTAAACAACAAAAAAACCATATGCATTATTTTTTGGGTAAATCACTAAAATGGTCCATGAGATTTATATAACTCATCACTTTGGTCCTTGAGATTCCAATTCGATAAAAGTGGTCCCTGAGATTGTCAACCATCCATCATTTTGGTCATTCTGTTAAAAACTCCATTAAGTGTCCCGAAGCTCTTGGCCGAAAGTTTGGGCAATTTTCAAAGCTTCATAACTCAATCGTTTTTTAAACAAATTCGACCCATAATATATCAAAATGAAGATAGGAAAGTGTAGAATAAGATTATACCTATTTTGAAGCCCAATGGTTGACAGAGATGGCCTGAAAATAGCCTCAAAATTGACTTGTCCGAGCGAAAACTGGATAAACTTTAAACGTTCATATCTTCTTCAATACTCAACAAAATCAAGTGATTCAAAAACGAAAATCATACTTCTCGATGAGACAAAAAGAATGGTACCTTTTTCAACTGCTATATCTCCATGGTTTGGCCGAAACGTGGCTCGAAGGTGGCTAACTCGAGACCTAGACAGCTACTTTCAAGCAGTTTTCAGGCCAAAACATGGCAAGTAAGCCATCGAAAAATGTACCATTCTCTTCATCTCATCGAGAAGTATGATGTTTATTTTTGAATCACTTGATTTCGTTGAGTATTGAAGAAGTTATGAACGTTTAAAATTTACCCAGTTTCCGGCGAGTTTTCAAGTTTTCACTCGGACCAATCAACTTTAAGGCTATTTTCCGGCCATCTCCTGCAACCATTGGGCTTCAAAATAGGTATAATCTTATTATACACTTTCATATCTTCATTTTGATATATTATGGGTCGAATTTGGTTAAGAAACGATTGAGTTAAGAAGCTTTGAAAATTGCCCAAACTTCCGGCCAAGAACTCCGGGACACTTAACAGAGTTTTTAAAGGAATGACCAAAATGATAGATGGTGGACAATCTTAGGGACCACTTTTATTGATTTGGAATCTCAGGGACCAAAGTGATGAATTATGCAAATCTCAAGGACCATTTAGCGATTTAGCCTTATTTTTTAAGCAGCCGCTGAGTTGTTTCGCATTTATGTATTTCGATGTTTTATTTTTTAAGTTTCGGATTATGGATAGATGAACTAAACACTAGAGTGGAGGTTATGAACCTTATTTTGTTGGCATAAATGAAATTGCAATTTTGGAAAACAGTGATTGAGTTGCCATTATAAGACCGAAGAGACGCTATCGGTATTAATTTCGGGTTCTTTGTGTTGTCCTTATGCAGTCGTTTAGCTTACGTACCTAACCATATGCTTTGAAAATATGTAATTCATATTCTGTTACTATCAAATTATCTATTTCCCTTGTTTTCCTATCAAATTATATATAACCAAATTGTTAATCTACAATTGAGTGGCAGAAGAAGAGTTTACCGCGCTATAAAAATTGGTTCGGTTGACTAGAGCAGTGTTTGTAATTGTTAACCCACATCTGAGTGGCAAAAGAAGAGTTACCATGCAATCGAAATTGGTTCGGTTGACTAGACCCCGTGTGTAACTGTTAACGCACATTTGAGCGGTAGAAGAAGAGTTACCATGCTATAGAAATTAGTTTGGTTGATTAGAATAGTGTATCTATTTTCCTACTCTAAAATACGAATCTTGCTTCTTGTAAACTAGACTGGAGTTCTCATACATGTAAAATAAAAGGAAAACTAATGAAAATGGCTTGAAAACTTTAAGTTTTAATAATAATGACAAAATAAATTGTAAATTGAATAGTACCAAGATTGATTTTTTAGTGTAAAAATGTGATTTTTCATTAAAATGAACAGTACCGGAAGCTTTTTCGTTAAAGTTCCCTAAAATAAATTGCATTTCTCGAAGGACATTAGATTGCTTGCTTTTATTTATAATGTTCTTGATAAATTCATACTTACCCCAAAACCTACCGGGTGGTCTTACATTTCTCACAAGATCAAAAGTAAACCACTGAAACTAATCTCCCTTGTTTTTTCTTTATATTCCAAGTGGCTCTGCAATATGGAAAATTCAGGGATTTATTCAGACCAACTCCGTAAGAATTTAGTCTTCTTAGCATTACTCTAAATTTTATAGTAAAATTAGGATAATGCTAAGGAGATCAAATTTTCTAAACTAAATTGCAAATCAAATAATGTGTCATCAATAAGAAATGAGCACGTTAATCGACACTTGGTTAATAATCCAATCATCTACAACCATATTATTTGGCTTGCAAATTTACTTTAAAATTTTTGTTTTCTCTAACATTACCCAATTTGTTAACTCTCTTGATCGGACATGACCTTTGTTAATTTCTTCAGTTTACATTGAGATTTGAATTTAGGTTTATATCCCTCTCCCACTTCCTTCATTTGTTTCCCCATCATTATTTCCCCCAAAAAATAGCCAAAAGAGAATAAGAAAATAATTATAAAAATGTGCGACAATGGCAACGCATATGTAAAAATCCACTTTCTTCGATCATATGTTTAGAATTTTTTTTTCTTTCAGTTTGAAAAAACATGTACTACATTCATTGGTGTACGTGCACGTTCAAAAAGACGAAAAAAAAAAAGAAATTGAACAACAAAAAGGAACCTAGCAGGGTTTGTCAACAACGCAGTTTAGTACTGGTTTGGTACTGATGTGCATTTTATAAAAAGTGGATAAAAAAAAATTAAGCTCAAAAAGATGTTTGGTAAACACTTAAAAACAACTTATTTTCACAGTTTTAAATGAAAAAAACTGAAAACGTGAAGCAGCAAAAATAAACTTATTTTCACAACACAGAAGAAACAAAATTTTTTCAAAACACAACAATACCAAACTAGCCCTAGGAACACCAGAAAATTCTTGTAACAGTTTATCTCCCCTCTCCCCGTAATAATAATTATTAAAGAAAAAGTGTTACATAGGTTTCCCGAGGACACTTCTAAAGTAAAATTTGTTAACTACCTTGAGATGCTCTAATTAATGCCCCAATTAGTATACTCAGGGGGCATTTGTTTACCCTTCTTAGCCTTCACTGAATTAAATTGGATTGTAGTCTTGTGTTTGGTGGCTTGTGGGACTAACATTAATGGCACTAGATGGGACTCACTTTGACAAACGACTTCACTAGCTGGTCTTAGCGAGAGACCCCAACACCCACGGGTTTAGCTAAGACCTTCCATCATCCTCTCTCGCCTTCGTCCACTCTCGCTGCATCCTTTATCGCCTTCGTCTGCTTCACTGCCCCGAGTTCATCGACCTCGATTTTCTACGGCATGGGCTTCAATGAAAGCTGGAACTTGGAAGATAGAAATTTTTTTACGGCTGGGTTCATCCATCTCAGTCTCCAATTTTTTACGGCATAGACCTTGACCTCGATTTCGACGGCTAGTTCATCCATCTTTGTCTTTAATTTTCGACTGCATCGACCTTGGCCTTGATTTTCCATGGTTGGGTTTATCCATCTCGTCTTCCTCCACCCTTCCCTTGCCATCTGTGACACACCCCGATCCTAGAATCAAGGCGTGCTGGCCGTCACGCCTTGATTCTAGGATCGGGGTGTGTCAGTTTGGTATCAGAGCCTAGGTTGCAATCCTGTATAAATTGTTAACGTTCTAATGATCTTTTGATGTCTTCTGTCAGAACTATGCCGCCTCGTAGGGAATCACGCCGTGCTTCTAAGTCCAATTTCCCTAATATAACTCAATTAGGGAAAGCGATGGCCCATGCCTTTCAGAATGCAATCCGTCCTCCTCCTCCTCAGAGAACACCCCTGGAGACTATGTATAATCTAAAATTAGACTGTTTCAT